AGGTGAAATGCGTTTCAACAATTCCAGTGGTTTTGACTCGAGTTCGAAGCACGTCATCCTTGAATTATGAAATCAAAACGAGCAAAAACAGCAGACTAGCGCATACCTGGGTAGGAATGTAATTAGGTTGTGCGATCCGCTCTAACGAGTTTAAGTAGTAAGGAGCGGAGTCATTTAGTTGGAACTCACGCGATCTAAGAATAAGGGAGATAAGTGCAACTACTTACAGTTGAAACAAGCTAGAAATGATGGAGAATGATCACTAGAGAAATAGCAAATTGACGTGATTAGAGGATCTCTATTAGTATAAGTATGAGATTGCTTCTTTAAATAGCAATTATCATATTACTAGCAGGTAGAATAGTGTTTTTAGGATTACAGATTGGAAATAAGGATTGAGATTTAATGAAACAAAACAATAGAGAAAAGGGTTCAAAAGCTAAACTGGCATTTTTTCAAACTGTTCATACTGATACCGTTTCAATAAAGCTTTCTAGAAGCAGAAACAGCTCTGTGGCATGCAGTTTTCTGATGCAGTTTGGAACAAATGGCTTATATCCTCTTACAATGTTTATGAAATTCAGCTAGAAAGAGCAGATTTCCAAAAGGTACACACTGGCTTAGAAGCAGAGCTCATACTTTGAAAATTTCCTGAGAAGTCAGTTTTACGCAATTATTTTTACATGCACTAGGCTGACCGAATACCACAATTCTGACAAACTTTCTTGCTCTTCAAAACATGTTCAATTGAAAGAAACAAGGAAGTTACCGATAGTCATGTCTACAATCTGAAAGAACTTAGAAGAATATTAATAAATTTCTCAGTGGTTTCCTAATACCGGCAAACTACCAGAATTGAAAGGCTGATGTATTAAAAATGAAATCATCAGACTTCAGTTTATCAGGATGCCTGAGGTATTACGCAAAAGAAGTTGCTATCACTGGCCGGATCATGTTTTGCTTCGCCCCAGGACCAGCAAACTATTCTTCCTCCATAATCTAAATTGGCACCAGATTACATGGGGAGGATGAAAGCATTGACTTTGACATCGGATGGCCGCCGCAATTCATTGTAATAGGCCAGTAGGTAAGTTGCTTCTAGCTGAAAATACCCAAAACTCTTTCTGATTATGAGCTAAGCTAACTAGGCCATTTTGCAACCTGATATAAAAGTGAATCTCTCCAGACGATCATATCAGAAACTTCTCCCTTAAATTCTTAATTTGCAAAGGAGTATTAATGACAACAGGCACGAAACTTTACATTTCTCTCAAAACCTTAACGAAATCAAACATGGAAAACTAGTGGCTAGAAGAGAAACTATTATATCAAAGTATTTCTCGACAAAGTAATCAATTGTTAGCAATCGTCCCGCGTTGCGAGCAACCTCTGCTTGTTTACAATGAAATGCTAGCTTTATGGAAAGGGCGCAAAGCTGAGCACGTGCTAATTCGTCTTTGTATAGAGAAGATAGCCAATTCGATATATGAAAAAAGTGGAAATGAACTGACAAATCCCGCGTTATGATATATGCCCACCTCATAAAGCACTCCTGTATTCCTGGATCCGCCCAAAGACGTTTCATAACACTTGCTAAGTCTGGCGGCAGTTCACCCTATAACAGTGCAAATTGAGATGCAGAAAAAAACTCATAAACTGATTAGAAGCATACCTCATCACACGTTTGGCTTATGCTGAAGAACTGCTGTGTATCCTCAACACTGTTCGGTGATTTGAAATCAATCTTTAATGTGCCCATAGCGCGAAGTAGAGCAACCATTGACTGTAACACGGATAAGTACCACGTATTAGTTCATAATAATGATAAGAGTTGATCTACAAAAAACTTCTATGCAAATCTCTCTTCGTCACCGTCTATGTTGAGACTTGCATTCCTTCAAAAACACGTTTTTTTTTAATAGAAGAATAGATCTAAAGCTGTAAAT